GCACGTGCGCATGCTCTCTCTTTTGCTCAACTTCGGTCCTCCTCCCCTCTCAACAGAATTTTTCCCTGATGTGTGGTTTTTTGGGGGGGGGGGGGGCTGGTATTTTTTGTTAAACCATCTGGCAACCCTATTTCTGCCACTGTTTCTGCTCTCTTTGTTTAATGGGTTGGCCACCCCTACTGTAGTGCCACCACTGGCTCTCAGCTGTGGGAGGGGTGGGGTAGAGACTGAGTTTGGGTGCCAAAAGAGCCATATCTGGCTCCTTAGTAAGCTGTATTTGGCTCATGAGCCATAGGTTGCCAACTCTCGTCATAAGTAGTCTGTTGCACCTTTTATTTAGCTGTGCCTTTCTGTAGATTTTCCAGACCTGAGGAAGAACTCTGTCTGTGGCCCACAGTGTAGTTTGGGTTTACATGGGGCTCAACACACAGCCCACAAGTGGGAGCCAACACAAAGTAGTCAATATAATGGTCTTCTGTTGAGATGTGTTTTAGTAGTTAAATTTCTGAACTGTCATTGCTCATTAAAAGTGCCTGCGTGTTGTATAATCTTGCCTTAATCTTTGTATTCATGCCCATCAGTGTGAAAAGCTATTTGCATATATATTTGTATGTACATGCAACCACATTTAAGTTGCAGCCTTTGGCATGTGCTGTGAGTATCATTTTGGCCCCTGGATCTTCCAAAGTTGAGTATCTCCACTCTAAAGTTTATCTCTCACCAGCGGAAGTTAGTCCAATAAAATATATTCTCTCCCATATTGCTTCTCATTAGAAATATTATACAAAATGTATCATTTCACTGATGGTTTTTTTAACTGTAATACCTGAATTTCTTTTAAAGATAGTGAAAATGTTCATTTACCCAGAGAATTGATTCGTTAGTGTTTTGATAAGACAGGTTTGAATCTGAAATACACGGATAAGCGCAACACAGACTAATTGAATCTTTTCAGTGGATTCCAAAGCCAGAAATTAAAATCTAGTCTGATCTGTGTAACAGAGGCCATAGAAGTTCTCTAAGGCCTAGAAGAGATCTTCTAGATGAACACCTAATTTTGATATTAAAATATTACTGATAGAGAATGCACCATGCCCTTTTGTGAATTGTTCCAGTGTTGAATTGCTCTCTGTTTTAAAATGTGCACTTTAGACAAATTCAGACTGGAAATAACTTCATGATTCAGTTGGAAGAAAAAGGTACATCAGTTGAAGAGATTATTGGTAGCCAAACAAGGAGAGTGTTTAGTATTTCTGAAGTTAAAAGGAACAAGATCACTGTGGTTAAAAGGTTAAAATAGCTTCAGCATTTCCAGTGGCTGATGTGAAGGTGGAAAGAAAGGGTGGTGGTATGAAAAAACGTAGTGTGAAGTGCATGATGTGTGTTTGTCTTGTTGTTTCTGTCAGTGGAGGCTGAACTGGAATTTAACCTACTATTTACTGTGAGATATGTAAGTTGACGGAGTTTGCACATCTTGTTTATACATCAATATATTGAGTGACAGTACTTGCATTACATGGTGACAGGTATAACAATTTTTAATCCTGTAGCACCTTAGAGACTAACAAATATAGTATCATGAGCTTTCATGAGTAAAACCCACTTCCCATCTGAGTAAGGTTCATGTTTTCTGTCTCTTTCTCACACATTCACACAGAGATATATTTGGCACTGATGAGGCCACATTTGGAGTATTGCATCCAGTTCTGGGTCCCCCAATACAGAAAGGATGTGGAAGCATTGGAGAGGGTCCAGCGGAAGGCAACCAAAATGATTAGGGGGCTGGAGAACATGACCTACGAGGAGAGGTTGAGGGATTTGGACTTATTTAGTCTGCAGAAGAGAAATATGGGGGGATATGATAGTAGCCTTCAACTTCTTGAAGGGAGGTTTCAAGGAAGCAGGAGAGAGGCTCAGTAGTGATGGATGGCAGAACAAGGAGCACTGTTACAGTGGAGGAGGTTTAGGTTGGATATTAGGAAAAACTTTCCCTAGAAGGGTGGTGAAGCACTGGGATGGATTACTTAGGGAGGTGGTAGAATCTCAGTAGTGATGGATGGCAGTAGTGATGGATGTTCTCAGTAGTGATGGATGGCAGAACAAGGAGCACTGTTACAGTGGAGGAGGTTTAGGTTGGATATTAGGAAAAACTTTCCCTAGAAGGGTGGTGAAGCACTGGGATGGATTACTTAGGGAGGTGGTAGAATCTCAGTAGTGATGGATGGCAGTAGTGATGGATGGCAGTAGTGATGGATGTTCTCAGTAGTGATGGATGGCAGAACAAGGAGCACTGTTACAGTGGAGGAGGTTTAGGTTGGATATTAGGAAAAACTTTCCCAAGAAGGGTGGTGAAGCACTGGGATGGATTACTTAGGGAGGTGGTAGAATCTCCATCCGTAGAGATTTTTAAATCACGGCTTGATGACAGAGCCCTGGCTGGGACGATTTAGTTAGGGTTGGTCCTGCTTTGGGCAAGAGGCTGGACTCGGTGACCTCCTGAGGTCTCTGCATAAGGATCTTGTGCAAGCCAGACACGTCCACACTGTTTGTTTTTGCGCAAAACCTCTTGTGCAAAATGGATCAGAAGAGATTATGCAAATGAAGTAAAAGAAAATGCTAATGAGCGCTTCATTTGTATTGCCTCTTCTGCAAAAAAAGTAGTGTAGACATAGCCATAGTTATTTAAACACTATCAGCCTACACATCAGTCTGCTCAGTAGGAGCTGTTCTAAGAACTGAGATTCTGAGTTCTAGTCCTAATTCTTCCATTGATTTTTGTGCCTTTTGTGTGTAACCTTTCTCAGTAATTCCTAGTTTAGGAGCCAAGGAAGTATAATTCCTCTCCCCAGCTCAGAGATTGCACAAGATGATTTCAAACAGGTGGAAAAAAATCTAGTTTCTTATGTTGCAGATCAAGTCTCAGCCATCTAGCTACTTTGTTTTTGAGTATGAATGGTCCAGACCTCTGTGTTTGTATGGGCTTTCTATAACTAGGTCTCTTTATCCTCCTGAGCCAGAAATAATACCTGACAATCCTAGTCTCAACATTCCCAGTTAGTTATGTAAGTCACTGGCAAAGTTTATATCACCTGCCTTTCTGATATCTGACCCACATAGTAGGTAACAGTTTAATATTGCATTTAGCTCAGATAGTGCATTTCTGTCGTGAATTTATAAGTTCTGGATTCAAGTCCTGTTGCTGATTTAACTTGGGTGAAAGGTAAGGATGTTAAGAGGCAGGTAATAGACCAGTTGTGTAGTTGATACAATTTGTATCAACTACACGATTAGGCAATAAGGGAAGGTGCTCTGTCCCAGCTTGCATCGGTCCAGGAGCTATCCCAGCTGCCGCTCTTTAGTTTAAATATAGTAGGAGTCAGGCGCGTGGGCAGACCAGCTCCTACTATATTTAAACTAAAGAGATGCAGCGGAGGTAGGTCCTGGACCAGCATGAGCTGGGACAGAGGTGGGACCTCTGTGACGACTGCATTTTAAATCTAGTAAGAACCAGGTAGCTCTTAATACATTTAAAGGCAGAGTCGCAGTGGTCCTGGACCAGCATGAGCCGACAGAGCCAGGTTTGCTCAGTCCAGCAGTCTCTGTCCACAACCAGCCCCGGCCACCGCAAACAGAGACTGCTTCCCCTCCTCTCCCCCTCTCCCCTTTCTGACTCTGATAGAAGCAGCAGCGGGGCGGGAGCAGCATGTGGCACTGCAGAGATTGTGCTGTGGGGGAAACTAGCTTTTAAGCCAGCTCTCTTCTCTCCCCTCCCCTCCCCAGCACCGGTTCTTGTTCCCCCTCCTCTGTTGCTGCTTCTGATATACAGAGGCAGCAAGGGTGGGGAGAGTAGTTTTAAAAACAAAACTTTAAAAATTATAATAAATAGCGACCCCTGTTAAAAGTATGCTTGAGTTGCAAAGTCAAGCCCTAAATTAGGAAATGCTGGAATTCAGGTTCTTATTAAGGATGTTAAATTGTAGTTATCTGGCTAATTGTGGAGTTGATATAATTTGTATGGAATACATGATTAATCAATAAGGGTTGCTCTGCAAAGCCACAGCAGGGCTAGTTCCAGGAGCTGACTCAAGCCGGGATTGAGCAGTCCTGTCTTGTGCTGGCTTTGGGAGCCACCCACGCTGCAGCTCTGCATTTAAATGTTGTAAAAGAGCCTCCGGGGAGGGGTTTGGAGAGGCAGGCAGCACCGCAGGGATGGTGCTGGGGGGAACTGGCTTTTAAGCCGGTTTTAAGCAAGAAGTCAATATTCCAGTTGACTACTCACCAACATTCCTAGTTCTTATTAAAACTTAATTTGCCTCTTTTGTGTATGTATAATGAATTATTAAAGCTTTCATATAGAACTGGCAGCACGTGATCACAACGCCTTTGCCACATTCTTTATAAAGGCTGGGCAGTGCATAAGACATAGGTTTGTAAGGATTAACTTGTAGTTAAGGCACTGGACTTAGAACTGGCTTCTATTTCAATCTCTGCCACAGATTTCCTATGTTACATTGGTGTAGGTGGAGCTTGGTCCTGCCTTGAGGGTGGGGGGCTGGACTCGATGACCTCTTGAGGTCCCTTCCAGTCCTATTATTCTATGATTCTATGAGTCTATTATGCATATGAGCAATAGGTTGAACTAAGATTACAGAGGCAACAGCAGCTCTCTTTAACATAGTTTTGTATATGTGATTATGTATACGTTGAAATACACATAAAATGTATTTTCACCTCTGGGTGGTCCTCCCCCATTTATTGATGTGAACATCTGGGGGGGGTTTCAGAAGTTCAGATGTGTTGGTTTAAGATGATGAAACCATGGATTTTTTTGAAAAACACTGGAGTTCTCATTAAAAAATAAAGATAACATAAGAGTTTTGAAATAGCTACTTGTTTTCATCTTCCTAAAATAAAAAGCTTTCAATAGAATACAGACAGAGAAAATTCAGCTTATTTTAAAATGAAGGTATAGAACTTATTTGATTTTTTTCTCTTTGCAGATATTTTATAAAATGTCTAATGGTTATGAAGATCACATGGCTGAAGATTGCAGGGATGATATTGGTAGAACAAATTTAATTGTGAACTACCTCCCTCAAAACATGACGCAGGATGAGTTACGGAGTCTATTTAGCAGTATTGGCGAAGTTGAATCTGCTAAACTTATTCGGGACAAAGTTGCAGGTATACTCTAGTCTGTAAGGAATTTTTGCTTGGTGGTGGACTGCTTGTTCAAACCTTTGATTTAAATGAAATTAAAGTAGATAATTTAAATCCTGTATTTTCTACAGCTAACAAGAATTAACAAAACTAGTTAAGATGAAGAAATGATGTATTACGAAGTCAAGATGATTCGTAAATTGAGTGGCTAAATTCATCTTTGATTAGGCGGTGCAACTCATTAACTTAATTCAGATCTTTTGTGAACAAGTCTGTTCAATGAATAAATTCTTCTGCAGTGTTAACTTGGCCTTATGGGATTGACTGTGCAAACAATTTTCAAAACAGGAAAATATGACATGTGCAATGTGCCTGATGAATTGTTGCAGGAGAAAATCTTACCTTAAGAATTTTCTTATTTGAGTGCTTTATTTTGTATATTTAACATTGCTCTACTGCTAATTCCATTGTAACTTCCCAAGCTGTTTAAGTAAGAAGGCAGGATGGGGCTGAGGGGAAAGTAGTAAACACAGACCTGCTTAATCTTGTGGAATTTGATGGTTCTTTGAAGTTCATCAAATGTTATCAGAGTTAAACTTTCTTGATATCTATTCCACCTTATTAGCTTACAAGCAGAGCTTTTATCAGTTTGTTTGTGTGGAAATAATAGTCATTGGAGGTATAAAGGTGCTGTATTTTTTTGAAATACTAAACAGCTTTCTATATTTACAAATTCGGCCCATCCTAGTTCAAAATCTTGAGGTTTACAATCTCCTTCAGTAGGTGAGGGTCCTAAATTCCTGTTACCAAGTAGGTGTCCAGCAAATTGCCTGTAGATGCATGTTTGCCTGCAACCATTTCTACTTGTGCACAAGCTCACAGCCTAGTGGAATTTTCTATTGCACTTGGTGAGCTATAGATTTCAAAGATTCTTCTTCACTTATTCAAAATTAGCAAAGGTTCATTAAGAACTATTTATATGTCAATTCTGAAGCTTCAGAATTCAATGGCTGAGCAATTCTCATGAATAAAAACGATTTTTTTAACAGAATGTCAGGTTTTTTAGAGACAAAGCATGTAAAATGTGCAAAAGGTGAATATTCGAAAACATGCCTGTTATAACAAGGTGATAGCAGTGAAAATGGTTTTTACAATTTTAAGTGTAACTGACATCTAGAATCACTTCTGATCCTTGTCTTAATTTTTTTTTTTAAGAATTTTTCAGTACTCCTTTTTAGTTGATAGCCATACAAAAAGTTCCTTCAGCTTGAAGATGTATATGTGGCTATATGGGTAATATGAGCAGAAATAGTTCATAAAGGGTTTACACAGAAGCTTGACAATGGAGGGAAGGAGAAGAACCGTAGTAGTTATCCATCCAGTCCATTGCCCAGTCAGGGCAGACCTGAACCTGACACACATCATCAGTTACTTTTTTCAAACTAGTTTTAAATGCACTAAATCTAGGCCTAGAGGCATTCCACCACATTTTCAATGAATCTGCTTTGCAATCTTATACATTAACTGTTAGGACTGTTTTTCTTGATAATCATCATTGTTCTGTTCCTTAATTTTATCCCATTACTCCCAGCAAGAAACATTTATTAACCATGGGAGATGGAGAGCCAAGAATGAGGTCTGGGCCAACTGAATACCAAGCCTAGCCAAACACTTCATTCAGATGCTAGGGAGGAGGAATTGAAGGAGGAGGAATTGAACTCTAATTTTCCCTTTAGATCCAGCCAACGGACTTAATCTTTTGACTCCTAAGCATCCAAGTTAATCTTGTAGAGCTTTCCATTCTTTCTCTTTCCTTTGTCGACTTTTATTCTTCTGGCAGAGAAGAGACTTTTCATTCTCCTCTCTTTTTCATTCCCTACCACTGATCCCATTCTGGAGAATCTAGTGTGGAGTGTCTGTTCTACACCTTCGTCTGGCTTGTATTTTTTTGGATCATTCTTTGCTATGAACACAGTCCAGTACTTGACTGTTTCATTACTTTTCTAAGTAGCTCCAGGATGCAATTTGTGAGTAGCAGCGCAGACATTGGCACTTATATGCATACTTGTGAAGACAGTATTGTGTTGGTTAACATTTGGAAGATGATCTTTGCTCATTCTGATGGTATTTTATTTGACAAAATCTTGGTTTTTGCAGAAATGATGACATGAACCTTCTTATAAGGGAAAACTACTTACTTAGTGAGTGTGTTTTTTCAGTTCTTGGTAATTCCTGTCCATCTTTTTATTTCTTAATCCTTCAGATATTTGAAAATGGCCTCAGTATGAATCCCTTCTTAGTTGCTGCTTGAACTATGAGATTTAGTTACTCGAATCTTATCTCATAAATTAATCCCTCTGACCACTTTTGTTGCTGTAAGCTGTATTCCACTGCTTCATTATGTCTCTGGTAATATAAAATCACACCTGGAAAATATATTCTGTGCTAGACAAATGATCTGACTAGAAAGAGCTATTACATACCTAACTTCATATATATAATTATTTTAGCATACTCTGGTCTGCATAACACAGGCTGAAGAACATGGTAATTCCTGTGTTGAAGAAAATTATTTGTTTCTACTCTATAAGTCAGTAGTCCCCAAAACAGTGCCCGCGGGCGCCATGGTGCCTGCCGGGGCATTTATGTATGTCCACCGAAACATCTGGGCTGGCACCACCCCCAGTGCGCGGCACATGAGCGGTGCCAGCCCTGGGCTCAGGACGCATGGGCGGCCCCTACCCACGGTGCAGCACATGTGCAGTGCTGGCCCTGGGCACACGATGCATGGGTGGCTACTGGCCCCGGTGCAGGGTGTGTGTAGGCAGCCCCTGCTCCGGGCACGTGGCACATGTACGGTGCCAGCTCTGAGCTCAGAGCATGTGGGTGGCCCCTACCCCCAGCGTGTGGCACATGCGTGGCCCCACCCCCCGGATGCCTGGCGTGTGAGCGGCCCCGCCTCTGGATGCCTGGCAGCCACGAAAGATTGGGGACCACTGATATAAGTGAACATTTTTAAGGCCCAGTAACTTGTAATTGAGTTAAATATGAAGCCTCTTTATTTAGATTCAAGTGATTAATTTATCTCTTCCCTAATAAATTACTTTCTGTAAGAAAAAGTCTCACCTACAGTTAAAATTTTTCTAGTTTTTAATTCATAGACATTGCATCTACTAGATTAGTTCCCCAGTGTCCATACTTTCTGCCTGAGAGCTGCTATAGACCAGGGGTTGACAACCTATGGCACATGTGCCATAAGTGGCATGCGTGCTGATTTTCAACAGCATGTGGGGCAGTAGTTCAGCCCCTTCCCTCCTCCTTCATGCAGCTGCTGGAGCACCCACCCTTTTCCCCAGCAGCAGGCTAGGCTGTGGTGAGAGGCAGCATCTTTGTGTGACTGAGGCTCCTCAGCAGCACTGCTGGGGCCGGTCCCGCATGGCAGCGCCACCTCTGGGGCTGGCCTGGGACAGACAGCCTGGTCACCACAGCGGTGTCTCTGGGGCCAGCCCGGGACCGTGTGGCCATGGCAGCAGGGGCTCTAGGGCTGGCCTGGGACCGTTTGGCCACAGCAGTTGCTACAAGGGGGCGTGAAGCCAGGTAAGCATCCCCTGTGATGCCCAAATCCCCACAGGCCAATCCCTCTCTCTCTCACTCCCCTCTCCCCTGCCGAGACCCCGCACCCCCAGCTTGCTCTGACACCCTATCTTGTTCCTGTACTCTCCCTCCTAGAAAGACACCTACCCCCATTCTTTCCCTGCACTCTCCCCCCAGCCTGGCCTGACACCCAATTGCATACTTTGGGTGAATGTGCCCTGCTGCTGCATCCAGGGCTGGCCCAAGGCATTCTGGTGCCTCGGGCACAGGTGTGCGGCGCTGCCCCCGGGCGCACGGCGCATACGTGGGCCCGCCCATGGGGAGCGGGCCCACTCCCTTAGGGTGCGCAGGCCTGCTCCTGGGGCGCATGGTGCAAACGCGGCCCAGTCCGGCCCAGCTGTTGCTGCTGATGCGCGCGCTGGGCCATGTAGGGTCCCATGGCCGTGGGGGAAAGGGCGTTGCTGGCCAGTGCTGCGGTGGGGATGCTGGCGGGCCAGCACTGCGGGAGCCAGATGCACCCCATCAGTTGGCGCCCTGGGCAGCTGCCCGGCTCGCCCATGCCTCCGTCTGGCTCTGGCTGCATCCACTGTTGCTCCTGCACGTTGCTTCCTGGCCCCCCACACACTGCACCCTTCCTCGCTCCTGCACCCTCCACCTACCCAGATGCCCTACTCCCGGCCTGTTTCTGCACTCTAATTCCGACCCAGACATCACAATCTTTCCTCTGTGCACCCCATCTTCCTCCCAGATCCTGCACCCCCATCCTTATCCCATTCACTGGCAGCCCTGTCTTGCATACTCCCTCCATTTTTGCCTCTGCCCCATAGCCTAAGGGGGTCCATAAAATCCAATAACTCCAGCATCCCAGAAGAGTAAATCTGGCCTATGGGAAACCCTGAACCTCAGTCATCCCTGTCCCTTTCCCTCACCTCATGAGGCTGGAGCACCAGATGAGTGAGGTGTGTCAGCTGAGGGCCACGTCAGTGAGGGTTGGGGGGTTTTTGGAGGAATTTTTTTTGCTTCTCACTTGTGTGGTCCCCAACTGATTTTTCTGTAGGTCAGTGACCCCGACCCAAAAAAGGTTTCCCACCCTTGGCATAAAGAAAACATTGAAACATTTTATGTTTGACATAATATTTTACTTTTATTTTAAATAAAGTTTGATAAGCTAACATGAGAGAGTTAAATCTGTTTAATTTAAATTAAACTGTTCTCGCTAGCTGCAGCTGTTTCAGAAAATATGGTCACTGTACTCAGCCTGCTCCTGCTCTCTTCTCTCTCTCTCTCTCTGTCTCCCCTTTTCCCCCGGCAGACAGATCCGTGTATAAGTTAAATCTTGGCACGCCGCCTACGACAGGTTGCCAACCCCTATTATAGACTATGATCAAGACCTTAAACTTTTTTGGTTATCTAAATTGAACTTCTTAGCT